TGATCACCGGTAAGAATGATGTCATCCACATACACAATAAGTACAACAATCTTCTTCTTTGATCTTTTTGTGAACATTGTATGATCAGCCTGACTTTGAGTATAATCGCACTTGATTACTGAATTGGTGAATTTGGCAAACCAAGCATGAGGAGATTGTTTGAGACCATACAGAGATTTCTGGAGCTTGCATACTTTGCCACTAGGGAAGGACCCTTCAAGACCGGGAGGTAAATCCATGTATACATCCTCTTCAAGATCTCCATTAAGGAATGTATTTTTGACATCAAGTTGCACAAGGGGCCAGTCTCGATTTGCTGCAATGGAGAGTAGGATTCTAATGGAGTTCAGTTTGGCTACTGGGGCAAATGTCTCTTCGTAGTCAATTCCGTATGACTGAGTATAACCTTTTGCAACCAGTCGGGTTTTTAACCGATTTATGTTTCCGTCTGCCTTACATTTGATGATAAATAACCACCTGCATCCTCCGTCTGCCTTACATTTGATGGTAAATAACCACCTGCATCCTACTGGTCTCGTATCCTTGGGCAAATCAGACACAATCCATGTTCCACTCTTTTCTAGTGCAGCAACTTCTTCATTCATAGCTTTTCTCCATTCTGGATGTGAGAGGGCTTCATTAATAGAATTCGGAACCCTTATGCTGTCAATAGCAGTTACAAATGCATGATAGGGAGGAGATAACCTCTCATATGAAACAAATCGGACAATAGGATGTTGAGTGCAGAGAACATCAGAATCATCTTTCACAGGCGGGGTAAGCTCATAATCACTAGTGTCTATAGATTCCGTATCTGAGTGAGTTTTAGAGGATTTTGGAGTCGGATTAGATTCTTGGACAACAGCTGGAAGCAGTCTTAGTGCGTCTTGAATAGACTCGAAGTTCCTGAGGAGTGGGTTGTGTAGACTGAGGAGGTTGAACAGGAGAAGGTGTGGGTTGTTTGGACTGAGGAGGTTGAATAGGAGATGGAGGATGTCTGACAGTCGGTGAGGGACCTGTGCCAATTGGTAAAGGGACACAGGGTTGTTGTTCACTCTCCCCCTGAATGACAGACCCTTTGTAGTATAATTGATGCTCAAAAAAGGTCACATCCATAGAATTGTAGACCTTTTTAGTTGAGGACAATAACACTTGTAGCCTTTATTGTTGGTCAAATATCCTATGAATATGCATTTGACAGATTTGGGGTCTAATTTACTGCGGTGTTGTTTGTGAATATGAACAAAGACGGAGAAACCAAATAGTTTGGTAGAGACAACTGAAGGGAGTGTACATGTATTTGGAAAAGAGTGAAGGAGGACATCAATTGGACTACGAAAACCCAAAATACGAGAGGGCATTCGATTTATTATGAGGTAGGCAGCAGTCAAAGTTGCCTCGCCCCAATAACATTTAGGGACTGATGTGACAAACATGAGACAACGGGTTACCTCCAACAAGTGACGATTTTTCCGCTCGGCAACCTCATTTTGTTGGGGAGATCAACACATGTGCTAAGGTGAAGGATGCCATGTTGAGTAAGAAAAGTTCCTAGGAGCAACCAAATAGTTTGGTAGGGACAACTGAAGGGAGTGTACATGTATTTGGAAAAGAGTGAAGGAGGACATCAATTGGACTACGAAAACCCAAAATACGAGAGGGCATTCGATTTATTATGAGGTAGGCAGCAGTCAAAGTTGCCTCGCCCCAATAACATTTAGGGACTGATGTGACAAACATGAGACAACGGGTTACCTCCAACAAGTGACGATTTTTCCGCTCGGCAACCTCATTTTGTTGGGGAGATCAACACATGTGCTAAGGTGAAGGATGCCATGTTGAGTAAGAAAAGTTCCTAGGGAGGTGTTGAAAAAATCTCTTGCATTATCTGTTTTGAGAGCCTGATTTTTTATGTCAAATTGAGTGAGTATCATTTGATAGAATGCACGAAATATTGGTCCTACCTCGGATTTGTCACGCATAAGATAGATCCATGTCACCCGTGTGTGATCATCAATAAAGGACATGAACCATAGAAGAGAAGGAGGACATCAATTGGACTACGGAAACCCAAAATACGAGAGGGCATCCGATTTATAAGGTAGGCAGCGAATATTTTTCTCACGAGAAGGACCCCAGACGTCACTATGGATCAGAGAAAAAGGACGAGTGAGTTTGTATGATAATCGAGGAAATGAAGTACGAGTGTGTTTGGCAAGTTGACAAAATTTGCAATTAAAAGAGGTAGGACTTTTATTAATAAATAAATGAGGAAACAGTTTCCCCAGATACATAAAGTTGAAGTTGGGATGACTTAAACGATAATGAAGTAGCATGATTTCACTATCATTATTAATGCTGGAATGAAATACAAATGTACTAAGCGGATTTAAGCAAGACAGACTTGATACTGGACTACACCCGGTGGGTGAGACTAGACTGACAGAGGGTTTG